TCCTTTGCGATCAATTCGAACTGTGCCAGTTACATTAGTTGAGTTTGAAAAAAGGTATCTTGCAAGTTTTTTCGTTACGAAAAAATTGTCCAAGCCCTTATGTAACAAGTTGGCCATTTCTAGGAGTTTTACAACGACAGTGTATCCTAACCCAAACTGGTCAATCCTAGCCCGTTCAGTTTCATATCTGGCCCCCTTGTAACAATAAAATTGGTAGCAGTACTTGGTGTCGGCATCACAAAGGACCCAAAGTTTGATACCCCATTTATGGTGTTTTTTTTTTTTTTGGGATGTACTGCGTTAATGAGATCCTCTTTTTAGTTCCCACAAAAGATTCGTCAATTGATAGTTTTTCATATGGTGTGAAATGCGTTCGGAAAACTCTGTTACAATGGTCTATTAAACACTGAAACCGACCACATGGGTCGTTTGGGTCCCCAAGCTTTGGTAAGGTGTTTTTGTCAACAATGTGGAAGAACTTGAGCAAAATTTCAAACCTGTTCCGGCTAAACATCTTACTAAACCATGGGGTACTTGATGATGATGCGGTAAACCAGTACGATTCTATTGTTGGTTTTCGAATGACGCCCATGTTTAAGATCACAGCAATAAATCCTTTCATCTCCTCTAGTGTCACATTTACCCAGGATCTTAGGCGGCTTTTAGGGGACAGGTTGCCTTGTTGAGACCTTAAAAATTTGTTTGCATATTTGTTAGTTTCTAAAACAAAAGTGTTTAGTAAGACATTTGTAAAGAACAAATAAAAATATGACAAAGGACGTGAGTTACGGGGTGGACAGTGTTTTGGTCCAGACAACTCAGCAAAGTTGAAAGTTGCGGGAAATTCATGATCGTTACCGTCTTCAACCTCCTCCCATTCACTACTGTCAGAATCGTGATTATTCCTGGGCCCTACAGGCTGGGGCCTTCGAACATGACCCCTCCCCTGACTACGTCTGCCCCCCGGTTCCCGATTTACGTGTCCGTTAAGCATTTGTGGCGTATTATTAGGTCTGGGCATTGGGGGATCATCAGGATCGCTATCATCAGAACTACTATAACTCACAGTAGGCTCGTGAACATCAGTTTGGTTGAAATTATGTTGTACAACCGTTTCTCTGGTTGAAGGCCCTGGAGCATTTATATCTAAATCTAAAACCCTAGGCCTATTCCTATCTGTTAAAAATCTAAAAGGATTGGGTCTTTCAGCTGGATCGTAGGTTGGGTCCTCGTCTGTGTCGTCAAAGATTTCATCTGAGGAAGAGGACAGGTCATCTAATGAGTTCACCTCACCATCGTCACTAGCGACGTCGTATCCACTTGCTAGAATTTCGTTTACTATAGCGTTTTCACTAAGTGGTGACGGCGGACACGGTCTTTTACTCATTTTACACCAAAAATGTACACAAAACTAGACTCTAAATAATGTTTTCCGCACTAAATAAAGTAAACTAACATCACAACATGTAATAGTAAACAAAACCTCATTGCAGACTGTTTGGCGCCAGTAAAAGTCGCGACAGACTGCGTGGCGCCAATCGCCAGTCTGCTCTTGGCACGGCCCACTTGATCGATGTCATTTGTGTTGTTGGGATACTATAATAAAAGCTTTAGATAATTTACGCTGCGGAACCAACTAGAATGGTCCTTAGGCTTTATAGTAATATGAAGTTTACGAGTATATTAGTAAAAATAACAGCGCAATATCAAAAATACGCCGAGCCGATCTGATCGGCCGGTGGCGGGGTTCGCTCGACATTGCAGAGCCGATGAGATCGGCCCGTGGCGGACTTCGAATACAATGTTTAAGCCGATGAGATCGGCCCTTGGCGGTCTTCACAACATATCGTAAGGCCGATCTAATCGGCCCGTGGCGGTAAAAGGGTTAAAACTGAGAGCAGAAATAATGTAGGTGAAACTTTTTCGACGCAAATAGAGATATTTAAGATTAGTTTCTAACAAGTGTTTAAACAACTGAAAGATGTAACTAGAATTACTCGAATTTAAACATAACGTTTTCCTCGGAGTTATGTTTCATACTATGCGGCTCATTGAGCCACACGGGTTCTCTAGCTATTAAAATATGAATTGTTGTTTAATATTTCATAGGTAATTTATGTTTTATACTGATACATTTGGTATTTGTCAAAGTTCTACTATTGTAATTGAATACTTAACTAGGAAGACTGATGTTTCAGACTGATAAATTTTGTATTTTTCAAAGTTGAACTATATCCTAACTGATATTACCATGTTTTTTCCTATGGGTAAGAGTTATTTTTAATAAGGTATGCCTAGTTAACATTTGTATTTTCTTAACAGATGTTTTTTATTGATGTTCTTTAATAAAAGATTTTGAATATTCTTGCCTATTATTATTATTTTTGTTTTTAACCAGTCGTCTGTCGTAAATCAGTAGGTATTTAACAATGTTACAAAATCAGGTAAAAATGTCGAACGTGCATTTCCCGTTATGTATGAGAAGGAAAATCCCGTCTTGATCAAGTCTCGAAATTTTATGTGAACTTAAAACTCCCGTCTCGTCCCGAACTAAAAACCGAATATCGTCCATCCCTACTAGCCTACTACAAACAAGCCTATGTTATATTATTTGTGGTTTTCTTGGGTATAGAGTTAAATCATGAAGCGTGTACTATAACTTATTTATATTAGCTTATGTATTAGCTTATGCTGCGTGCGACATTCTGAGTTGAATAATAATAAACTTAACCCTTAATTTGGCAAACAAATCTTTTTTTGAAAACTAATTTTTCCTTGCTATATTTCAATCAAAAGGGTCCAAAGGAACTGCAAAAAAATAATTTTAAAATTCTTATAAGTATTTTTCACAATTTTTTCATGTGTGCCATTTTTGGCACTTTGCCAAATATGCGGAGATTTCTCTAGGAATCTTTTGTTGAATAAAATACAACAAGTTTATCTGTATAGCACTTAAAAATAACCCTAAGGGGTTGAATAAGTCGACATTATCACATATTGGATATCAAAATTGTATAACTTTAATTATATGTAAGATATACAAAAATCAATTTTTCCACAAAAGCTATCAATCAATAAAATGGTATAAACGTCATTATAAAAAATGAAGTAAAATGTATACACATGTAAAATCTCTACAAAACTATGTGATTACAATAGAAAATACATTATTATATAATTTATTGATATTTCATCAGTCATGCCCATCAGGAAAATCGTTTGAAATTTCATTAGAGTATGTACATCAAGAAGCGTCATCTACTTTTGGGGAAACCCCACAAAACAATTGCTATTTTCTTTCAGTTACATCCTCGCATTGCACTTTTAACACTTTAACGACGATTTTTTATTTTTGCAAAATCTGCATCGACCTCTTAACGCATACAAAGAAAGGGTAGTGTCCAACACCATCAAAGCGTACATCTTCAACACACATCAGAGCAGCTGGTGTGAGAAGAAGTAAATCCTTTTTTTAGAACTTGTCTTTTACTCCTTTCTTTGGTTAGCGATTCAAAAATCCTATAACTAAAATTTGTTAGTGACATATTGTCTTGCTGGTTTTCAGTTTAATTATTTTCAAAGTGGCAGCAATGCGTTATTCCACGACATGTCGATACGGTGAGCAAATATTTGTAAGTACCAAAGTCTTTATCGGAATGCACAAACAACTTTCATATAAGAAGATTCACTTTCAGCAGGAAATAAAACTCTTTTTTGTTGCCATGGATGGTTGGGATTTTTTGTAAAGCCAAAGTCTTTTCTAAACAGCCTAGTGAAAAATCTTTCCTCGCAAAAACATTTTTATTTTACAGTTTGTGGTAATAAGAGACATACATTTACAAATATAAATACCTTTCACTGTTTTATAAACAGTGTGCCACTTTAGGCGCGCTCAATAAACAAAAAAAAATAACTGCATCTTTGGTTATGTGCCATTTTTGGCACGCCCAAAAATTTTCATTGTTCCCTGGTTCTTTGGCAGTGTGCCATTTTTGTCACACTCAAATTGTTTAGTTTATAAAAACCCAATATTCATATTTAAGCTAATTACTGACCTGGGTTATGTTTTCTCATCTTTAATCTGTGCAAATCACTTAGATATATAAGTAAACAGCCTAAAATATTGAAATAAGAAATAATTTACTAACCTTCTACACTAAGCCTCCATACTTCCTTTTCTATATGTTGGTCTAAAGTGATAGTAATTTCCAAAACATCCAATATAGTGCACTAAACCATAATAGCAATAGGCAAAGAACCTTTGGACGCCGTTTGTTGGAATTAAAAAGTTAACAGTCGAACTTGACATTTTTTTGAATCCTCATGTGCCAATAATGGCACGCTGTCAAATTAAGGGTTAATTAACTACTGAGCCAAACCACATCCATATCACAGCCATTTTGATGATCTAATATTTCTAATTCATCTAATATAATATAATAAGCCAAAGAACAAGTAAAACTTCCACTCATACCTTAAGGGTTACGAGTGTGCTCAAAACTAAAATTTACATATTAAGCTGAAATAGTTATTAGTTCCCTAAACCCCTTAATCCCCCCCCCCTTTCTAAATAGAACATATTTATTTAATTAATCAAACCTAAGATAACTTATCGTTCTTAGACCATGTCCAGCGTTGACCAGGTCGCCTACACACCACAAACTCCAGGAGACAACTACTACTCTGGCTTTGCGCTTCCTACCCCCTCCCCAAGTTCTCCAGTTATCAGCTGATTTACCGTATGATGCGTCTCCACTGTGGTGCAAGTGTCACAATCAAGCATTACTGTTACGATAAGCCCAGTAATCAAAACTATTTTTCATCCATCTAAACGGCTCCTGAATCCACACATCGATGTTTTGACAGTATACTATAGACATTAAACAATAAATTTTCAATTGTTTTAGAAATGATTTAAACAAGTTTTTATGACATTTTATGCTTTAGTATTCTGTAGGAAACATTGTGATTCACCATTTAACTGCCTATTTATTTCACAGAGGACCTGGACACATTGGAGGAGATGGCTGCCAGTTTGTTTGCCAATGTTGAGAACAAGAACATCACAGCTCCAGTGTGGCTGGAACATCCGTACGGACCTCAACAACTGCAGATGAAGGGCTACGTTGTGCCTGTCAAGGATCTGCGCAACCTTAATATCAACTTTCCTATCCCAGACCTGCATGAGTACTACAAGTCTGGGGTAAGAGTTTGAAGTTGTCACTCAATTGCTGAGTTTTGTACAAAACTGTATAGCAGCAGACCCACCACTACTATTTACAAAAAACTAACTGAATTCAATGTTGACAAAGACATGGGCATTTTCCACACATAGCCTCTATTTCAGTTTATTTGTGATCTTCTCTGCATGTTTTAAACATAATTTACAAAACATTTTAGTTAAAAGATTAAATAATACATCATACAATATGTTCAATTTTCTTTGGATTCTAGCAAAGTAGGGGTCTGTGGAAGTTTTGGGGTTCATTAGTATTATAAATGTAGCCTTATTTGGGACAGGCTCAAGATCCGATATCTAGAAGGTTATGATAATTGAAGGATATGTCATAATAGCTAACACTTTCTTCATGAACTCTTTGTAATCGAATCTTAACCCTCGAGTGATTTACGCCGCGGCTGAAATCAGGCGCATTTACATTGTTACAGAAATCGCCGATTTTTTCACGAAAATGAAACTAATTTCACTTAATATAGTTTTTATTCGGTTCAGAAATGAATAATCTGTCGATTGATGTCCATTTCAACTATTTAGATGCCTTTGGGAAAACTTAAACTCTATGAAAATAACGCATCAGCTGACGACATCGTCATAATGAGCAGTCGCTTATTACCGGCGTCTGTTGTTGCTTATTTCGTGTTGGTGTTTGGTTGTTTTGGTGTTTTGTTGTTATAAGTTTTTTTTTTTTTTTTTTTTTAATGTGAGTTGAAATTAATTGAATTGAAATGGATTCTCTAGGTATGTAACTTCAATTCAATTCAAATTCTCTTTATTCATTCACAGTACAAGTTTTTATACAATGAATAGCGTCAAATAAATATAAAGATGAATTATGCCTTACTTATCGCTAAAACAATCATTATCTTTACAAAACAAATATCAAGCTTAAGAAGTATAAACAAAACAAAATTAAATGAAATAATCTTTCTAAACTATCATTTATGATTTATCTTGAATTCCAAAATTCATCCAAAGAATACAAAGACAATGTAAGGAGATAATCTTTCAATATTTTTTTAAAAACATCAAAGCTTTTTTCCTCTATTATAGTTTTAGGTAAATTAAATAAGAATTTTATGCCAATGAAACTACATTTCTTCTCAAAAAACTTGAGTATTTTATAAATTATTTCTTGTTAGACCTGAATGTTTTGCTTTAAGTATTTGTGTAGGTTGTACAACGAATATGTATATGGCAATAAAAGCCATAATATGTATTTTTTTTAGTAAAACAAGGTAGGTACATGTATTATGTAACATTCTTTTCCTCATAAAACTATGCAAATTTGTATATTTATAGTAATACCAGAAACAAAGGAACCCTGGGACGTTTCGAGCCGCGCAGGTTTGAATGCTACGCCACACCTACCTGCGCGAACCACGTGATCTTTTCGTTTCTGCGCAGGTTGTTTTGTTCTTGGGATATCATTAGAAAAATTATTTTGAGTTCATTGATTTGTGTTAAAAAAAATACGGAACATATATGCATATAAAAAAAATCCGCTTAGCAAAATACAAAATTTTTTTTTATTAAAATTTCATATCTAAAATTTATAGAATAATATTCCTTGTTTTTTGCTGAAAAGGTGATATATAATATGATATATTTACAAACTTATTTACTGTATAAAAATGTGTTATAAAAAATGTCGCTCGACCCATAAAAAAACCCTTGCCACCACAGCATAAAAAGGCCACCAGCTCGAGGGTTAAAATTGTAATGTCTGAAACCCCTTATAAATTAAACCCTGTCAGAAGTGTTTTAAAAAAGTCAATTATTAACAATTTAACCAAGCAATTTAACTAAATTGATTTAACTAAAAACTCAAGTTTAAAAAAGCTAGGGGTATAGAAGCAAGTTTCAAATGTTAACAAGTTCTTTAAAAAATGTTGTGAATAATTGTGTAGTTATCACAAATTCATCCTAACTATTATCTTCTGCGTTCGTAATAACATCATGATAATCTACTACATGTTGGAAAGATTTGACAAAAACGAATAATGGGTTAGGTTGGCCCTTTGCATATTGTGGCAATAATGTAAATTTTTGGTCGCAAAATCTTTGAATACATGTCCTTTGATCCCATTATTTGATCGTTATTCACACCAAAGGTCCAAAAACAATTCAAATCCTCACATGAAAATTGGGAATGCAAATTTCACAAACAATTAGCATTTAAAATTTCTAGTTTAAACTAATATAGGTTTAAATTACCTGTTTTCTGTCAAAACGATCAGTTTGGTAGTATGATGACTACAGCTGTTTCATGCTTTTTAAAAATAGCACATCTTCAGGTCCAGAATGTCTTGCTAATCCCTCATGTGGAGTTCGTCAAAAATATAAACAAATAAATAAACGGGACACACATACGGATATGACACACACGAAAATACATTTAATAAACTGGTCGACCAGATGCTGATTCACGGGACACGGCGCCGGTGGAAGGTTTTGTTCATACACCTTTATTATTAATCACTCCTCAGAAAGGCTGTCCTAATATTCATTTTCCTAATTTATATAATTTCATTAATCTGTTCAATTAATCATTAATAATATTCATTCCATAGCCTAGCCTATATATATATTTTTACAAAGCCCACAACTTAATTATTTATTAAATTTGTAAGAGAATTGCAATACATCAAAATTTCTTATAATATCATTTAAAAATTTGTCCTTAAGGAATCAAAATTCAAGAAGCAGTGAAACTGATCCATGTGTTCAACAATGAATTATGTGAACATTGAGATTGGAGAGAGAAGGAAGCCATAGTGGAAGTTGTAACTGTTAGTTAAAAGAAGGATTCTAGATTTTATCTAAATTAAATTAATTAATGTCAACAAGAAAACCAGTTTATATCAAGTTATATAACAGTAAACCACAAGAGGACTCAACTCCATCATTGTTATTTTCAAAATTAAGTATAAACTTTTCTTTTAAACTCTTTTAAATTCAGTGCTAATTGGACTTACCTTTTGGACAACATCAAAATTAGATTTTTTCATTGTTGGGACTTTGTAAGTTTATCACCTTAATTAGGGCTATTTTAGGGATGGACGGGATTAAATTTTTAGTTCGGGACGGGACGGGACGGGATTTTTATTTCCTTCCCGATTTTCGGGACGGGACAAGACGGGATTTTTTTCTGTGCATAAAAAGAAAGTACTGTATTGCAGTTACCAAAAAAGACGTACGAAATCAATTTTTACCATTTGTGGCACTGATCTATAAAAACAAAAAAATGGGTAACAATTTACAGGTACCTATAGAAACTTGTGACTCGCGGGTCACGGGGTGATCGTCTGTATGACTCACGGTCACGGCGCGATCGTCGTCATGACTCGCGGTCACGGCGCGATCGTCGGTATGACTCGCGGTCACGGCGCGATCGTCAGTATGACTCCGCGGTCACGGGGATATCGTCGGTATGACTCCACGGTCACGGCGCGGTCGTCGGTATGACTCGCGGTCACGGCGCGATCGTCAGCATGACTCGCGGTCACGGCGCGATCGTCGTCATGACTCGCGGTCACGGGGTTATCGTCGGTATGACTCCACGGTCACGGCGCGATCGTCGTCATGACTCGCGGTCACGGGGTTATCGTCGGTATGACTCCACGGTCACGGCGCGATCGTCGTCATGACTCGCGGTCTCAGCGCAATCGTCGGTATGACTCGCGGTCACGGCGCGATCGTTGGTATGACTTGCGGTCACGGCGCGATCGTCGGTATGACTCCGCGGTCACGGGGTTATCGTCGGTAGGACTCCGCTGTCATGTCGTGATCGTCGGTATGACTCACCATCACGGCATGATCGTCAGTATGACTCCGCGGTCATGTCGTGATCGTCAGTATGACTCTGCGGTAACGGCGCGATCGTCGGTAGGACTCCGCGGTCACGGCGCGATTGTCGGTATGACTCGCGGTCACGGCGTGATCGTCAGTAGGACTCGTGGTCGCAGCGCGATCGTCGGTAGGACTCCGCGGTCACGGCGCGATTGTCGGTATGACTCGCGGTCACGGCGTGATCGTCAGTATGACTCGTGGTCACAGCGCGATCGTCGGTAGGACTTCGTGGTCACGGCGCGATCGTCGTTATGACTCGCGGTCACGGTGCGATCGTCGGTGCAATAATCGCGGCCACGGCGCGATCGTCGTTATGACTCCGCGGTCACGGCGTAATCGTCGAAATGACTTCGTCTCCTGCGTTCGCGGACCTATCGCTCGCAATAACGGCGATATCGGCACTCGCGAAGCGGAAAAATCGCCGACGATCGGACCAAATCCCGTCCCGAAAAATTCCCTAGTCAAATGTAATCCCGTCCCGATAATCGGGAATATTTTTTTCCTGAAAAATTCCCGAAATTTCGGGACCCGTCCATCCCTAGCCTATTTGGATAGCCTACTATTAAATTTATTAATTCTTAGCATTCGAGCCAGCACGACACCCTACCCTGAGATATATTACATCTAAATTATTTGAGCCTTTATTATTCAAACTTATCTTTTATTTCATTTGAATTTCAACCCCACACACCATTGTCAGTCCTTTCATTGTAACGTTAAGCCTTTTAACACGTTCGCTACTGCAATAGTACGAAATTTTCCATTCGCATGGACCAGCGACGCACATATGCGACGGCCGGTTTCCACCCATAGACTGCCGTCGCATATATGCGACGGCTAGTCACATTAAAATAGACTGCCGACGCATATTTGCGTCGGGGTTCTAATGTTATTAAAATGCTTATATCTTTGTAGTGGTCTATTTGAAGGAACTGAATTCCCTGCAGTGGTCTACAGAGATGTCTGACGCACAACTGCGTCGCTTGGTCTGTGGATATGATGATTGGTGACGTCATATAATAGTTGGAAAAACTGGTCTTTACTTTTCTGCATCACTGTATGTATGTATGCAGTATGTATGCTGCATTATCCTATGTAGCTTTTATATTTGTTCA